TCTAGTACCAGTTAGTAAAGATAATCAACCCATTCCCACTACTATTACTAGAGCTGATCCTGGAGTGTATAGGATACAGTGTAACCTCTTCAACCAATGGTACTCACACAGTAAAAGTACAAGTATATGATGTACACCTTGAGGATACCTCACTAGTCATCCCTATCAATCCTTACCTTGATAACATCACTCCAGTACATACTATAACTGAACTAAAATGCCCAGTAGGAGTTGCTGTAAGTGATAATAATCTTGTTATAATAACTGAGTTTAGTAGTAGCTGTCTAACAATACTGGATAAACAAGGAAAGGAATTGAAGTCTTTAGGGGGAGTAGGAAGTTGCAATATTGAGTTTTCCTGTCCTCGTGATGTAGCCATTACTCCAGACAAATTCATTCTTGTATCTAGTGATCACAGGATCCAGAAGATAAGCATGGATGGAGACCTTATAGCATCAGTTGGTGAGGAGGGCAATGGACCACTACAATTCAGTGCTCCTGCTGGTATAGCCATTTCTATAACAGGGCATTTTTATATTGTTGATAGTGGTAATCATCGTGTACAGATCTTGAATCCTGATCTAACTTTCTCTCATTCATTTGGTAGTAAAGGCTCAGCTAATGGACAGTTTAAATATCCACGTGACATTGCCGTTGACAGTCAAGGATTAGTGTATATTGCTGATAAGGATAATCATCGCATTCAGAAGTTCTCTCCAGATGGAACTTTCATGGCTCAGTTTGGCAACAAAAGATTTGGTCCTGGACGGCTTTACACTCCTTATGGTATAACAATAGACACTGCAGCTACTGGTCTAGTGTATGTTAGTGAATGGGGTTACAGTCGTATCTCAGTCTTCACTAGCGATGGTGTCTTTGTTAGCTGTTTTGGAAAGAACAGCAGTGGTGTTGATGCATTTCTTCATCCTTGTGGATTAGCATTTGATAATACTGGGTTCTTGTATGTTTGTGATCATAGTAAAAACAGCCTTATTATTTACTAATAGGCTAAAATAATTTTTATTTTCATTTTAAAGTTTTTCTTATAGTAATAATCTTGTTATTATTGATCTACATTTTGTAGGCATTAATTTCATGCTTCATTAAAATTATGCACAAACTGATTCACAATTAATTAAGTTTTTTTAATAATAATTTTTTATTAATCTAAATTAATCTTACGCTTCATTAAAACTTTGCAAGAAACATGATTCACAAAAATTAACTTCAAAAATTACTAGTGCTTGCTCCCATAACATGATACAAAGTAATGATTGATTTCTTTAACAAAAAAAGTGCAAAAAATAACTTCCAATAAGAAATTACTGATAAACTGTATTAGGATAATGATAAATGAATGATTGATGTGGAAAAGGAAAAAAAGAGGGGAGAGAGAAAGGGACACAAAAAAGAAATAAGAGAATAAGATACTTCATTGTTCAATCAGTAATACTAGAAAACAATTGTACTTAAACTGTTCTTGCTCTAGTTGCTATCTATCAAAGGAAACTTATTGAATTTTATTTTGAGTTTGTTTCTTTCTTTGAGTTCCTCCTCCATTGCCCGAGGGTCCTGTTTTGCTTCGGACGCTGTCACATTTGTGTCTCTTAAAGTCTCCGCTCCTTCGGAAGGTCCTACGACATTTTTGACACTTTATGGGAGCCTGAGGTATGAGACCTGTCTTGCTTCTAACACTATCACACTTGTGTCTCTTTAAGTCACCCGATCTAAGAAATAACAGAAAAGTAAATTTTAAAAATTAACTATAAATTTTTGTTGATTAACAAAGCTGCAAAAGTCATAAAAGACTGGGATGAATCCTACATAGTAACATTACCATGTTACTGTACAGGGACTTTGGCCTGATTTTGGAGCAACTTTAAAATTCATAAAAAATCAAAACTTGATCGGAAGCAGCTCAAACTTTCCATGTAACATAAGAACATATATATGCATCAGGAGAAGTTACTGATTAAAATAAAGAATTCTCACCTTTTCATTTTTGGCAAAATTTGGCCAAAGTCACTGTACTATAGTACAGGGATATTGGCCTGATTTTGGAGCAATTTTAAAAATTCACGAAAAATTCAAATTCGATCGGAATCAACTCAAACTTTCTACGGAATATAAATACATGTATATGTATCAGAAATTTATTTAAAATGGAGAATTCTTTCAATTTCAAATTCGGCCAAAATGCCTCTACTATAGTACAGGGATGTAGTACACTCATTCTGAGCTCACTGACAATAAAATTAATGAAAACTCTAACCTATTAAATGCACGTCCACATATATGACATTTGAAGGAGGCGGGGCCAGGAGGAGCCTGACCACTCCCACCAGCTGAAGCTCCTCCCCCTTTACTCCTTCCTGCATTACACTTGTGTCTCTTCAAATCTCCCGTCCTCCTGAAGGATCTCTGGCAATAAGGGCAAGGATATACGGGACGGTCAATGGCGGGCTGGGGCTGGTGGTAATTGGCCATTGAAGGCATCGACGCCATCTCTTTCCCTCTCCGTCCGGTCTGTAAACAGATTCCTTCAAATAAAATTTTGCGGTATCATTCCGTAAATGTCATTCCAAATATCCGTATACTTTAAACACGTGCGTTCACGTGGTCATTTTTATAAAGAGTACAATTATTTTTTTAAGTCAAAAAAGTATTAGATAATAGCAACACACATTACATATAATACAAAATTAACACACAATCACTCGCTCATATTTTTTAATAATTTATTATTTATAATTAATCTTCATTTTGCGTTTCGATGGGCGTGACATCTGGGGGTGTGGTCTCAGGTTTATCTTCGGATCCCAAACATTCTTCTTTATCTTGCACCTCTAGGTTCTAATTAAAGTGGGTGTGGTTATGGTGTTGCTACGGAAACAGGAGACGTACTTTAAGTTTCTGACTGAGGTCTGTCCTCTCTGTCTGGAGGGCTCTACAAAGTTTCTCCAGTTTATCGTTTTTAGTTTTTAAAACTTTAACAGTTTCAACGTGTTGTATACGCTAGGGAAAAAGGAAAAGAGAAAAATGGAGACAAAAATAGGAGGGGAAAAAAAGGAGAGAAAGTACAAAATGGTGGCAATTTTTTCATGGACTACATGTATAGTACAGGGTAAAAAAAACTTGGCAATATTTTGCAAGGAGACATCAGAATTCAGAATTCATTAAGAAAAAAGCATGGGCTATAGTACAGGGCATTTTTCGGAATTTGCAATATTTATAATAACTTGAAAAAACAGCTCAAAATTCTACACACATGTTACAATATTATAGCATTAATAAATTATGCATCAGAAATTTTTTCAAAAAATCATGAACTACATAGTACAAGTCATTGTATACTTACTTCATCAGCCATTTCTAACAAGCTCCTGTTACACTTCTCATATTTCAGTTTCCAAGTATTGGACTCTTTCTCTAACTCTCCTATCGTTTTAGCCATCTATAATAATTATAATAAAATATTAATGTTATTCATTAAGGGGTGTGGTCAGACACGCCCAAGCACAAACCTTATCCATCTCTTTTTTGAATGTTGAAAATACTTCGTTACTTTTTGTGAGGGTCGATTGAAATTCTTCAAATTTTTCCGAATAAATAGACAACTGGGAATGTAATAATAAAAATAATAATTAATTTTGTTCACTTTTAATTATAAATAATAATAATAATAATAAAATTAATAAAATAACGCCCACTCACTTGTCCCTTTAGCTCCATTTCTTGCATTGAGAGATCATCACATTTCTTTTGTTTCTCCATCATCTCAGACAAGAGCTAAACAATATTAATGATAAAAATAATAAAAATAATAACAGTTATTATTTTTAAAAATAATAGCCCTTTTTATGA